CCTGCCAGAAGTAGTCAGTGGAGCCGGCAACTCTAACTGCTAATGAGGCAGGAAAGTGCCGCATGCTTTCCATGTGCCACACACCCTGCTGAAGTAAGAGGAGAAACCCTCACTTTGCAGAGGCTAGATCTACCACTCTTTCACTTCCTCCACCTCTTCTGTGTCTGCTCCTCAGAAAACAATGCGTCTATGGTTCTCTGTGTTTCCTAACAGCTCTTTAAATGTTTGAAGGTGGAATAAAGCTCTCTTTAAGCCTCCTTCTTGTTTGTGTATTCAGTCTGTTTTCATATCACACTCCCTAGGTAACATTCATTTTTCTTAGCTTATATTTAAGATGCAAATGAGGGAGAGCAGCTTGCTTCCCTTCCATGAACTGTCCTGAAGGAAAGGGAGTTTCCATTCTGAGGAGAGGAACAAGAAGATGTTGAGACCAGAGGCAAATGGGAGCAAGCAGGGTCTAGGGTCAGCTCCAGGCTTGGAAAAGATACAGTAGTGGACAAAAGAAGTGGAGATCTATAGTTCTTGAAGACTAGAGAAGAGATGCTAAGAGTTTAAAGTAGCAATTTGAGGGCCTTGGAAGATGGCTTAACAGCAAAATGCTTGCTGAGCAAGCATGGGGACCTGAGTTTGTATTTCCAGCACGAATGTGAAAAGCCAAGTGTGGTGGTCCTCGCCTGCAATCCCAGTGTCGGAGAGGTGGGCCAGGCAGAGTCCTGGAGCATGCTGACCAGCCAGCTGAAATGAATCTGCAAGCTCCAGGTCTGAATTCAGCATCCTAGGCACGTGTTTTTCTTTCTCCCTCTCCCTCTCCCTCTTCCTCCCCCTCCCCCCTCCCCCCTCTCCCTTTCCCTCTCCCTCTCTGAGATGGAGTCTTGCTGTATAGCTCAGACTGCCTTAAACTCAGTCTTCCAGCCTCAGACTCCCAAGTGCTAGGATTACAGGTGTGTACCATCAGGCCTGGCTAGCTCAAACTTTTTCTTGACTACCTTGCTTAAAGGAAGATGGGAAATTGTTACCTTGGAGTCAGTATTTATCCTAATGGAACCAAGCTTCTACAGCCTTTTGGAGTGTTGACGAACAAGATAACAATCTTTCAAAGCCATTTTTGCACTAGATTTCTGCCCTAAAGTATCTGAGACCCCCTCCCCCCAAGAATGCTTCTGTGCTTCAGTGCCTTCCAGATGTTTCTGGCTCTGGCTGTTTCATTTGGCTTGCCTCTCTCCTTGGGGAGAAGGACTTGTACAGTTCAACACCAGGAACCAGCTAAGATCAATCTAGAACACTGAGCGAGACTTCCCTGAAGGTTCAAGGATATCATACTGGAATTATAACAGAAAAATCCTGACCTTGAATAGGTCAGCCTATTTTCTGAACTGCTGGCCAAGATTTCCCAGGGTTACCTTTAGAGCAAGTCTTCCATGCAATTCCCAGTTGGGTATCAGGGCAGTTTCCCTGACTTTGCACATAGTGAGTCAGGTATACCTGTAAGACATCATCGCCTACAAGAAGGAATCTCAGCGGGCATGTGGGCACATGCCTTCAATCCCAGCACTAGGGAGGCAGAGGCGGGCAGATCTCTGAGTTCTAGGCTAACCTGGTCTACATAGAGAGTTTCGGGACAGCCAGGGCTATGTAGAGAGGCCCTGTCTCAAAAAACAAAAGCAATGACAACAACAAGAAACAAAACAAAACAACAACAAAAAGAAATAAACCCCAAAACTAAAACAAAACAAGAAAGAATAGATACCAGCATCTTTGAGCCTCCCACAAGGTAACACCCTATCTGCAGAGACGTTGCCCACCCAGGTGGGTATTGTGTGAGCAGTCTTGCTCTTTAGCTTCTCTCCACATCTCACTATCTGGATAGAAACTTAACCTTACCATGGCATCAAAAAGAAAATAAAAGTTTTCAACAAACAAAACAAAACAATGATGCCCTCAGTGATACCCTTGTTTTCTATGGCTATTGAAAATTGAGTATCATGTCTCAGCAGGGACCTCAATACACAAATCACAGTTAAAATATTATCACAGAAACAAACTAGTACTTTCCAAAGAGGATATCCTTAGGTATTCACTCATGTCTGCAGAGTCTAGACTATTACTTGGGGCTTTCTTCCAAATAACATTCATTATAATTGAGCATTGTTTTTACTATAAGAATCTGTAGAAGTCACTGAAGATCTCATACTGTTGGTTTTGAAACCATAAATCAATAATTCTGAGTTATACTCAAAATGAGCTCTAATGTTACTAGAATTTTCAAAACCACAGAAGTTTGAACTTATCTCAGTGCAACTTTGACATTGATACCATTTCCAGCCTCTTCCTGGCAGATGTGAGCTGAAGAGTGAAAGAACCTAGACACCAGAGGAACCGCGGGAGAGGAATGAAGGTGTGGTTTTGGTGCCTGGCTTCAAAGGAGGAGGCAATGCTGAGCCCAGCCTATTTCTTTTTAGCTAGACTAATTTCTGTAAAGGGAGAAAACCACTCAGCCAAAGTCAAACTTCCCCACATGATTTTTAATTTAACAATGCCCCAGTTTCCAAGCAATCATCTTCTAATCTTTGTGACTGCGCCGAGGAAGCAGGCAGTCAGGGTGAGTGAAGGGCCAGCCTAGCACCATGCAGGTATCCTGCCCTGGAACTAGGTTTTCCTCTCCCTCCCCGACTTCTCTCCCCGCTTCCTCCCCCTCCTTTCCCCCTTTCTTCTAGTTTTTGATGCAGTTGTATTTATTCATTTTGTGACATCTAGGGACAGAAATGAAAGACTAAAGAATTTCTTTCCTTTAAATAAATCTTTCAGTGAATGGAACTGAATGTCCTCAGTCCTTGATAACTAGCATGTATGAGCTAGCTATGCAGTGTGAAATCAGCTATTTCACACGTTCATGTGTCTCAGATCTTCTTGATAACAGATCCCCTCCCCTGCATGCCTACCAAAGGCAGGTGTCCAGCAACTTCTCTTCTACCTCATGCATTTGCTGCATCAGAAACACAATGGACCCAATGGCAGTGATAAGCTGTTTAGTTGAGGATGGGGGTATTAAAAGATAAAGTTAGAGCACTACAGATAGTTTTTAAACTTTAAGGATCACTGTCAATTTTAGGCTAAGTTTCTGATAAATGTAAATATAGATTGGGAGCTAAATTCCCCTTTTAAACAAAATGTTTCCTTCTGAAATCCAGATTGACTAATTACTCTGTATAGCTCATTTGCTCTGGAAATGAAAACCCCCTATAGATGTGGTGAAGTTCCTGTGTGTTCACAGCTTGTGGTGACTTTCAGCTTGCCACCTTATGAGACAGCCCACTCAAAAATCCTGACAACCTGTGGAGCTCAAAAGCTCTTCCTTACTCTTAGCCAAACTGACCTCTTGACGCTTTTACCGATTTGGTCTGAGATCTGCCCTCTGGAGAGACACAAAATAAACTTAATCCCTCTACTAGACAGCAAATCTCCTTATGTGACTCTCTTAAAAGAAATTACGGTGACTCAGGCTACACTTCTACCAAGGGTATAACAAACCCAATTACCTTTCCCTCCTGCTCCTTTTAGTGGCAGAGCAGGCTTACGTGAATCTACTTAATATGCTAGGCAGGGAAACCCCAACCCCTCTTCCACCACAGTCCCCGGGGGGCTTTACCCCGGGTTAAGGCTTCAGTGATCCTCAGCTCTAAGTCCTCAGAAGCAAATGCGAGTCCAGCAAAGGGCAGTGCTAGACAAGCAGGCTACTTCGACTTTCCTCTGTCATATGTAACACACAGATTCTGCAGACCAAGGGACATCTGGCCCAGAGATTCTCTTGGTCAAAAGCCATAGGGCCCTAACTTCTGTGATAGAATCCTGAGACTTTTCCTCAGGACTCAGCCCTGACAGTTTGGTTAGGTTCAGTTAAACCACACTGTGTGATGAGCACTCCAGGTGCCAAGAGCCTCACTACATTGGAGAAACACCAATTTAAGGGAAAAGACTAGCAAGTGTGAAATATGACGAGTAAAAATACCTTGCAGGCCTAACGAATGCCTCAGTGGAATAGAACACTTGCTGCCAAGCCTGATGACCTAAATTCAATCCCCAGAACCCACATGATGGAAGGGGAGAACAGATTCTAACAAGTTGTCCTCTGATTACCATCCATGGCATGTAAAACACACACACACACACACACACACATTTAATATTTAACTTATCTATCCCATCCATTTAAGTTCAATTATTAAATCCCATGTTACATAAACCATAAAACAATTCTTTAAGTCATTTATTATTCATAGCACATTAATCATTAAGCCTATCAAAATTCTTCCAGAATTGGGAGGGGGACTAACAGAATCACCTGCAAGTTACAGACCGATAAACTCAAGGATTTTTTGGAAAATATTCAACATAGGTCTTACGAGGGAACCAGGCTCCTGAATTGTGGCATGTCAGCTGTTTGGGATTGGCCAACAAAACAGGGCCTGGGGAAAGAGCTGAGGAATTTTACAGGGAGGGCATCCTGGTCCACATGCTGTTGATCAACCTTGTGATTGAAGTCAACATATAAATCACACCTGGCTAAGCACCTCCACGCACATCCTATGCTACTCTGAGTTTTAATAAAGCTATAGAAGGATTCCAACACACAGGTTCCAACAAGTCAGAATATTTCACAGTAGTCTAGATACCTGGAGAGTTTAATTAAAGAAAAATCCTTTTCTTTAAGAACAGCAGCTTATTTCTTTTCAAAATAACTGCTGTGGTTCTTTTGCAAATACAAAGTGTGTCTCATCTCTAACTTGGCTGTGAGGTAATGCCATCCCATGGCAGCCCTGGTGATCTTGTTTCCTTCTGGCAAAGAGAACCCATGTCCTGCCCAACAGCTTGGCAGCTTAGAAACTGAGTACAAAAAAGTTGAGCAAAAACTTAAAAAAAAAGTTTTGGTGATAAGAACTTACTTTCCTGTTACAACATTTCATACATGTTTTTGCAAACGATGTAGTAAAGTCACAGAAGTTTCATTTTCTGTTATGGATGAAGACTTTCACTGGCTCACTGATCTTCCTCTTCTTCCTGGAGCTTTCAAAACTTGGCTCAATGTGTACACAATTCATTCTTTGAATCTGTGAGAATCACCAGATAAAGGGATAACTCAGTAGAGAGTTGACATCTACACAAGACATGTAGAAAAGAGGAAGACCAAGCATGTGTAACGGATCCAAACCTGCTCTCCTATGGGCTTGTTTGGCCTGGTACATAACACTGCTGCCAGGACCAGAATCTGGCATTCCAAGTTTCAGGAGCTCAAGTCCCCTGGAGGCAGCCAGTTTCTGGGACAGTTTCTTGGCTCTCTCTAGTGAATTCAGCACATCCAACTCTTGAGGGAAGGCTTGTTGATCAAGGTGTGGGGCCAACAAGGAGCAAGTAAGGGTCAAGAGAGATCTAGGGCACTGATTACTTAGAGGCAGACATAATGTAAGTCCCTATTTAAGCCAGCAGAGACACAGCCCTGTCTCTTCTGCAACTGTTTAGACCAACGGCTTAAAAAGGACAGTGACTCCTTATGCTGAAGAAAAGGATATATTATTGATTACAGGGAAGCTGATCAGTGAATTATTACTAATCATCATCCCCACAGGGCTTAACTTTGGTGAAGATCTTGGGACTTATTTTCACTCAACTGAATGAATAACTGGAAGTATATATGTTCTGTCAGACAACCCCTGATGCCTGGAGTTCCAAGAAAGGTATAAAGAACATTGTACATTAATTATTCAGCTGCTAGAAAGGAATAACGTTTTTTTCCCACATCTTCTGGTCCTTGGAAGGAAAACGGAATGCAGAATATTTTAGAGCCAGACTTCTCAGAATGTCTAGAAGAGGCTCCAACGTTATCCCTCTTTTCTTTTGTAGCAGATGCACGTTATTATTGATATGGTATGACTACAAAATAGTGAGGATGTCAGTAGAGCCTTTAAGGACTGTTTAGAAACAGAAACTGGGTCTGCAAACGGGTAACTTAAGCGTTCATTCCATTCATTTATCCTTCAGTTTCAGGAAAGGGTTGAATTTCTGATCTCAGAAACCACAAAGTCTGCTTCACCTTCACTAAAACACTGACTAATAAAATAGTGAAAGTTTGAGAAAATTAGAGCTGCTTATCAAATCACTGGTTTGTTTATATGTGCGCAAGTTTGAAATGACTTGCTCTAAAGGAAAATAAATAGCAACATCAAAATGCAAAAGAAGAAGCCAGCTTTTTAATCTATGAGATGAATCTCTTATAGTGTGGTTGTAAGAAAAAGCATTTGCTAAAATTCATCTTGTCTGGAAATGCTGCAGGACATGCTCCCCATTCCAGTCCTGGGAACATGTGAAAACAGAGAAGATGGGGACAGCTCCAAATGACAACTCTGCCTGCTGCTTTAACCAGACTTTAGGCTCTTCTTCTTCTACTGTCAAATAAACTAGAGTTTTATTTTGTATCATTGAGATAATCAACGTGTCTTCAATAATGTATAGTTTTGTTTTTTTTTTTTTGGTTTTTCGAGACAGGGTTTCTCTGTGTAGCTTTGCGCCTTTCCTGGAACTCACCTGGTAGTTCAGGCTGGCCTCGAACTCACAGAGATCCGCCTGCCTCTGCCTCCCGAGTGCTGGGATTAAAGGCGTGCGCCACCACCGCCCGGCTCAATAATGTATAGTTTTATGGCAACCAGTGAAACCTGGGGATTCTCAATAGTTATAGAAAACCGGTATGCTTAAAGACAAGCATGTTATCAGTCAGGGGACACTTCCAGATAGATAAATGATCTGTATGAATTGTATAAGCCAACACAGTCAACTGCATAAAGCATATTCTAACTGGTTATGTTTGTACCTTTGATACCAAAAGCCAATTGGCAAGCAATTAGGTAGACCCGACATATCATCTCTAAACAACATTAGATGCAAATCAAATGATTTCTAATGCCTATGTGTGTGTAATAAAAATATTTGTTTTTATGTGGATGAGTGTTTGCCTGCATGTATGTGTGTACAGCACATGTATGCTTGGTGCCTGAGGAGACTGAAGAAGTTCAATACCCTGGAACTGGAGTAACAGACATCTGTGAGCCGCAATGTGGGTGCAGGGAACCAAATCCTGTCCTCTACAAGAGCAGCAAATGCTCTTATTCACTGAGACATCTCTCTGGAGAGCCCTTATATGTAATTTTTTTGACACAATGTCCCATGTATATCCCAGTCTAGGCTTGAGACTGAAGATGGCTTTCATTTCTCATCCTCCTGCCTCATCTCCCAAGTTTTGGAGTTTCAAGTGTACATCACTGCAGCTAGCTGATGTAGTGCATCTGAGCCTCATCTCCCAAGTTTTGGAGTTTCAAGTGTACATCACTGCAGCTAGCTGATGTAGTGCATCTGAGCCTCATCTCCCAAGTTTTGGAGTTTCAAGTGTACATCACTGCAGCTAGCTGATGTAGTGCATCTGAGCCTCATCTCCCAAGTTTTGGAGTTTCAAGTGTACATCACTGCAGCTAGCTGATGTAGTGCATCTGAGCCTCATCTCCCAAGTTTTGGAGTTTCAAGTGTACATCACTGCAGCTAGCTGATGTAGTGCATCTGAGCCTCATCTCCCAAGTTTTGGAGTTTCAAGTGTACATCACTGCAGCTAGCTGATGTAGTGCATCTGAGCCTCATCTCCCAAGTTTTGGAGTTTCAAGTGTACATCACTGCAGCTAGCTGATGTAGTGCATCTGAGCCTCATCTCCCAAGTTTTGGAGTTTCAAGTGTACATCACTGCAGCTAGCTGATGTAGTGCATCTGAGCCTCATCTCCCAAGTTTTGGAGTTTCAAGTGTACATCACTGCAGCTAGCTGATGTAGTGCATCTGAGCCTCATCTCCCAAGTTTTGGAGTTTCAAGTGTACATCACTGCAGCTAGCTGATGTAGTGCATCTGAGCCTCATCTCCCAAGTTTTGGAGTTTCAAGTGTACATCACTGCAGCTAGCTGATGTAGTGCATCTGAGCCTCACCCTGGTCCTGTCCTACTCTAAGCATATGGTTCTGAAGGTGTTTCTCAGCTAAGCTGGTGACTTGTATCTCTAACCCCAGTTCTTAGAAGAGGGTAGGACTGTTGTAAGCTCAAGGCCACCTTGGACGTCAATGTCTCAAAGATAGAAAACTTAAAAATTACGAAATGTTTCTTGTATTCAGATTACTAAGAGGCTACCATGATTAGTTACCAAGAACCCAAGGAATACAGAATTCACACGGGCCTGAAAAAACTCAGAAGATACACTTTCTGCTGTGTGGTACTTAACGTTTCCATTGTTGATTTAGTAACATTCTCCACTTAAGAAGCCTAAGAACAGGATTTGCCTTATGCACAGATAGGACAGCCACCTGATCTGGCAGTATTTGGATGGCATTGTGAAAAGTCCTTTCTTTGTAAACGACTGTTACTATTTCCTGTATATTCATTGCCTTAAAATGCTTTTTATTTGAATATTGTCCCAGTTGTTTCTCTTTGGCTTTCTGTTTCTCTTTTCTGCTATTCCCCTACCCCTAGGATTTTATCCTCTCCTAGGAATCAATTACATTTCATAAGCAAAGAGCCCCAACAGTTATATGTTCAATGTAGATCTCTTCTGAACCTCACATTTGCATGAGTATCCAACAGCCCACTGTAAGTCTCTACATGGTCAATCCAAAGAAAACTCAACTGTACTCTGTCTTAGATTGGAACTCATCACCTGCTTCTCTAGCCTTCTTCCAATCTTTGTTCTCACCTAAGGTATGCAAGTTAAAAGTCTGAGATTGGAGGAAAGCTCATGAGGCCTCAACTAGGCAAAGAACTACGGGTGACTGAGAGATACTGAGTGGGAGAAATAGTCTTCCCTAGGGAAGAGTACACCAATTTGTTATCCAATATCAAATAGTCAACCCTAAAAACACGCATACAAATAACATTACATGGACTGAGCAGGTTGTAGTTATATATTTAGGAATAACACACACACACACACACACACACACACACACACACACACACACACATAATGGCAATTAAAGAAAAAGAGACCATAAATTTGAAAGAGAGCAAAGGAGGGATGGGGCATGAAAATGTTTGGAGGGAAGAAAGGGGGAAATGATATAATCATATTCTTTTTTTTTTTTTTTAAGAAATTTTCACTATTTATAGAAACATTTCACTATTAGGATAAGAATTTGTACTGTATCAAGCTGATGAAAAAATGCTGGCTGTACTTTCAGGAGGGGAGGCTAACATCTTTTTAGAATATGGATTAGCCTATAGAAAAATGTCTGCTATAAGTCATAGTCTATAGAAAAATATCTGCCGTAAATCAAACAGTGAAGGGGAAGATAAATAGGAATCTCACTTACACAACTTAAGTAAAACATAGTTCTCTGAACAGATGAAGATACGTTTCTTCTGTATCCCAGGATCTAATCAATATTTATATGTATAATTCAGCTATCATTTGGCTTAAAAGGGCTTATTGGGAAATGCTATCATTTATACTATTTTCCACAGAGAAAATATTTTACTGTTTAAAATAACCCTAGACTTTTAAATTATAATCTGTTTTTATGTTCAGGCTATCTGAGTAATATTTCTCCTGCAGTTGTACATAAAATGTTTTTACATTCAAAAAAGGATAAATACTATAGAACTGTATTACATGAAATATATAGAATACACAAATTCATATGGACAGAAAGATTAGAGGTTATCTCAAGATAGAGAAGAAAGAAATATAGAGCAATGATTTACTAAGTACAGAATTTCTGTTTTGTGTGATGGAAAAACCCCACAAATGGACAGTAGTATCAGGACATAATATCATGAATGTAATAAATCAATATAATTAATGTAATTAGTGAATATCATAAATATAATTACTGAATGAATACTGCACATGTAATCAATGAATACCACAAATGTAATTGATATCATGAGTGTAATTAAAATAATAAACTATTAAAAAAAGAAATTTTTATTTATTTTTACATACTAATCACAGATCCCCCTCTTCCCTCCTCCCACCTCTCTAGCCTTTCCCCACCCCTCCACCCCCCCCCATTCCCTCCTACAAGAAGGAAA